CCAAGCCAGAAACATGGTCCTTCCATCACCCTTGATCTCATTCGTTCTCATCCACTCAATTGCCAAATCCTATTATTTTACCTTCTTAAAATCACTCAAGGAGCCCTGGTGGCATAATGGTTGAGTGCTCAGCTGCTAACTGAAAGGTTGATGGTGTGAATCCACCAGTGACTCCATGGGAGACAGACCTGATGATCTGCTTCCTGAAAGGTTGTTGTTGTTGTTGTTGTTATGTGTCGTCGAGTCGGACCGACTCATAGCAGCCCCTGCTTGGGTTTCCGAGGCAGTATCACTACAGAAGTAGATTGCCCAACCTTCCTTCCGAGGAGTGGCTGGTGGGTTTGAACTGCCAGCCTTCTGGTTAGCAGTCAAGTGCCTTAGGCACTATGCCACCAGAGCTCCTCCTGAAAGATTACAGTCTAGGAAACCCTATGGAACAGTTCTCTTCTGTCATCGTAAGTCATTGTGAGCTGGAATTGTCTTGATGGCACCCAACAACAATAACCATATAACTCACATCCATTTACTTCTCTCCTCTACTACCTCCATCCGAGTCACCCACCATCACCCCTCACCCAGACAACTCAGTAGTCTCCAAAATGGTCTCCTGCCTCCGTGCTTATCCCCGCCCCCACCATTCTCTAATAAGAACATTCGCTTGGTAAGAATAGGGCTAGAAAAGACCTTGTGAAGCCTCGGGTCCAGGGCAGGGACCCCTCCTGTGCAAATCAGCAAGTGGTACTACCCCTCATATCCCTACAGATGAATTCTGCTCATGCCCACTGCCCCACGTGGTTCCTTAGGTGCCTGAAGTGTTGCACAGCATGGGTGTTCCTAACCCCCTCCTGGGTTGGATTTGCTCCTCCCTGGCCCCAGTACCTCCTCCACCTCTTGTTGGACTCAATTCTTTTCGGCTGGAGACGTCTCTGCTTCTCAGGTATGTGGCCACTCTCCAGCAAGACAGATGGCCAGCCAGGAGCCGTATCTGAACAGTCACAACAAGCAGCAAGTCTCCATGGTGATGGACAGCCTGGGGCTGTGAAGGGCAATTCTGGGCTTGCTGTGTGCCTGGGCGGAGGTTGACTGCATGGCGGAGAAATTAAGAGGACTTTGTTCCCCTGTTCCTCTCGCTACACTCCTCTCGTCTTCTGTGGCCTTTGGAAGACTCTTCAGGAAAGAGGGAAATCCTTCCAAGAGGATGCCAGTACCTATATGCCTCTGCTTAGAACTTTCCCATAGCTTTTCAAGGAGTCCTGATGGCTCAGGGGTTAAGCATTCAGCTGCTAACCAAGAGGTTGGTGGTTCTAACCACCAGCTGCTCCATGGGAGAAAGATGTGGCAGTCTGCTTCTGTTAAGATTACAGCCTTGGAAACCTTATGGGGCAGTTCTGTTCTGTCCTATAGGGTCACTATGAGTGGCAGTCAACTCAACAGCGCCAGGTTTGGATTTTGGCTTGGTATGGCTTCTCACCTCACACAGAACAAAATCTAGAGAGCTCACCAAGCCCTACAAGGCGCTGCGTGGTCCATCCTCCCTCCGCTGCCGACGTGCCTCTCCGCTCACCTTCTGCGTCTCTTCTCCTTACTGCCTTCTCCTACCTTGTCTGCTCTGCTCTGGCCACCTTGACCTCCTTGCTTTTCCTTGAGCTCTATCTGCCACCCCAGGGCTTTGGCACTTGCTGTTCCCCTCTTCCAGAAACACTCTTCTCCCAGATACTTGAGGGCTTGTTCCCTCTTTTAATGCAGATTTCAGCCCAGATGTCCCCTCACCCGTATCCATCCTCACCCTCACCATTCTCTGTCCTCTTCTCTGCTTTTGTATTTTTCATAGCGCTTGTCACCATCTGACATTTTATTATTTCTTTGATTTTTTTTTTTTTTTTAATCATGCCTTTCTCCTCCACTGGAATGTAACTTCTGAGGACAGGGACTTTGTTTCCCTCACTGCTATAATCTCCAGTGAGGTGTCCATTCATATTCCATTAACAGACAGGGGGAGATAATCAAAGCTGACAACATTTTCCTTCCATTTGATATTTTAAAATATAAACAGTAGAGAAGAACCTTACATGGGGGTTATCTTGCAATATTGCCTCCCCTCCTCTCCCATCCCTGGTAACCAATAAAGAAAGTTTTCTTCTGTATGTAAACTTCTCCCTGACTTTTTATAATAGTGGGCTAACACAATATTTGTCCTTCTGTGATTGGACTTATTTCATTCAGATTATGTCCTCCAAGCTCATCTATGTTATGAGGTGTTTTGCAGGTTCTGCATTATTCTTCAGTGTTGCATAGTATTCCACTGTGTGTATTTATCATAGTTTGGATATCCATTCCTCAGTTGATGGACACCTAGGTTGTTTGCATCTTTTGGCTATTGTAAGTAGTGCTGTGATGAACATGGGTGTGCATATATCTATTTGTGTCCTGGTTCTCACGTCTTTAGGATATATACCACCTAATGGGACTGCTGGATCAAATTATTCTATTTCTAACTTTTTAAGGATGTCATGCTTTGTAGGGTGGAGGGTCGACAAAAGGGGGAGGCCTTCAACGAGATGGATTGACACAGTGGCTGCGATGATGGGCTCAAGTTTAGCAGGGATTGTGGGGCTGGCGCGGGATCAGGCAGTGTTTCGTTCTGCTGTTCATGGGGTCACTATGAGTCGGAAATGACTCGACGGCACTTAACAACAACAACAACAGCTTTTTAAGGAATTGCCATACTGTTTTCCACAGTGGTTATATAATTTTATGGTCCCACAAGCAGTGTATGAGAGTCCCAGTCTCTCCTCATCTTCGCCAGCATTTGTTTTTTTCTGTCTTGTTGAGTGATAAGTCTTATTTTGGAATTCCAACGTATGTTTATTATTCAGGTTGCTCAGTTGTTAAGAACTTGGCTGCTGACTAAAGGTTAGCAGTTCATACCAACCCAAGGGCTCTGCAGGGGAAAGACCTGACCGTCTGCTTCCCTGGAGATTAGAGCCTAGAAAACCCTGTGGGGCAGTTCAGCTCTGTCACACACGGGGTTGCTGTGAGTCGGAATTGGCCCAACAGTGCCTGACAACAACAAACATATGAATCAGATAATGATAACCCGAATGGCAGTACTGTTAATAATAAGAACCAACAGTTACTCAGGGCTTGCTGTGGCCAAGTATGTTTCTCACAACTTTGCATTTAACATCAATCATTGTGTCCATTTTATAGATGAGGAAACCATGGTTCAAAGAGGGGAAAGATTTGAGTCCATGCATGTTTCCAAATCTCAAATCCCAAACTCAGGCAGAATTACTTTGAGGATGAAAGGAAAGTATGTCTGTGGAAGTTCCTATTACAGTCTAAGGTTATTTTTAAAAATAACTCAAAAACTCACTGCCATCAAGTCAGATCCGACTCATAGCGGCCCCTCCTTGGGTTTCTGAGGCGGTATCTCTACAGAAGTAGATTGCCCAGCCTTCCTTCCAAGGAGTGGCTGGTGGGTTTGAACCACCAGCCTTTTGGTTAGCAGTCAGATGCTCCTTTTTTTTTTTTTTTTCAAATAGCTAGTATTTATGGTGCTCTTACCCCACTCCAGGTATCGTAAGAAGAGCTTTTCATGCTTAATTGTCACAAGTCTATGTGGAGACGGAGGCTCAGAGAGAAGTGTCTTGGCCAAGGAGACAGCCAGTATTGTAAAACAGGCTACTCTGACTCTTGGCCAGTGAACTACACTGCCTCCCTGTGTAGAGGCAGGCCATCAACATCAGTGTCATCATCACAAAGAGCAAGTAGGGATTAACCATCAGGAACACAAGAACAAGATACCATTCCACATTCACTAGGATGGCTGTAATGAAAAAGACAGTCACCAATGTTGACAGGGATGTGGAGAAACTGGAGCCCTCACACGCTGCTGGTCAGAATGTGAAAAGGTGCAACCACTGTGGAAACCAGTCTGCTGGTAGTTCCTCAAAAGGTTAAACATATGGAAAGTGAATTTCTTCTGTAAACTTTCACCCAAATCACAATAATTTTTTTTTTTAAAAAAAAAAGATTAAATATAAAGTTACCACATGACCCAACAGCTCCAGCCCTAGATGTCTGCCTCAGAGAAATGAGAACATACGTTCACATAAGCACTTACTACGTGAATATTCTTAACAGCATTATTCCTAATAGCCAAAAGGTGTAAACAGCCCAGATGTCCCTCAACATGATGATGAATGGATAAGCAAAATGTAGCTATGCACACCATGAGTATTACTCAGCCATGAGAAGTGAAGTTCTGACCCATGCTACAACACGGATGGGCCTTGAAAATGCTGTGCAGTGAGGGAAGTCAGTCACAAAGGCCCACATGTTGTGGAACTCCCTTTATGTGAGAAGTCCAGGATAGGCAAACCCGGAGAGACAGAGCGTAGATTAGTGGTTGACAGAGGCTGTGGGGCTGGGGGAATGGCGTGATGACTAAGGGGCGTGGGGTTTCTTCTAAGGGTGATGAGAATGCCCTATAGTTGGTTGTGGTGACGGATGCACGACTCTGGGTATGTTAGAAATCATTGAATTGTACACTTTAAATGGGTGAATGCATGTTATATGACTTAAATCTCAAAAAAGCTATTTAAAAAACAAACCCACTGGAAACAGACCTTCCTGAGAGTGGAGAGCTGCAGTTCCCACTTACAGGCTTCTCTGCCCTAAGCCAGTGTTCTCATCAGGCAGGCCCTGAAATCCCAGCTCCTGCACCTCCCCAGGAATCCAAGGTGTTGCCCTGTACTTTCCCACCTTCCCGGTGCATGCCCTGCCCAGCTCCCCGGGCAGGGCTGGGGTAGAGCAGAGGAGTCGCCCTTGCCCCCTGTGGCTTCTTTCTGCACTTCCTCCCGACCAGGTGGCAGGAAGAAGCACATCTCAGATTTAAAGCCATGTGGAATTCCAGATGCACTCTGAAGCCGTACCGTGGAGCGTGCTGGGCCGTCAGCCACAGCAGAGATTTGAGGTCGTGCCCACACACCACTTACCCGACATAGGAAAAGACGATTACGTGGAGGATCCACTTAATGGTGCCATAATTCACGCTCTTGATCTGGGTGACTTTGTTCGTCTCGTACTGGAAGATGTCATTCCAGCTGCAGCAGGCTGGCATGGTGAGAGAGGCTGCTTCCCACTTGGGGCTGCACCAGCACCCACCTCTCTCAGCCCCCAGTCCCTGAAAGCGAAATGAACTGGTTCTCAGTAGGAACCCTTAACTCAGAGCTCCTCCAATGACTGCCAAGTGGGGGTGGGCCCTGGCAGCTGTCCCAGATGTGGCTGGGGATAAACAAGAAGAACCGAGACCTACAGGCCTGACTGGGGTGGCACAGCCCCAGCCAGCCTCCCCCAGATGCCTGAACAAAGATGGTGTTCAGAGGGAAGGCATTGCTGGAATTCTCCCTCTCCCAGTTTTCCTTTGACGTTTGGTTGGAAGAAAGGGGCAGCCTTTCAAGGATCAGGAGACCCAGGGCTCCAGTTTTGCCTCAGGAAAGGGCCCAGATCTTTCCATGGCCTCAAGCTGCACTCAGACTGATGGATTCATTACTACAAAAGGTTATTCAGCCCCAGATGGGTATGGGCGCTGGATGAATGAAGGTCTCCCCTTCTCCTTCCACCCCCACTTCCTCACAACACTCTGGACTGCAGATGGGGGGGTACATCAGAGTTGCCGGGGAGGGCAGGGTTCTGTATCTGTGCTGGATATTTCTGCTCTGACCCCCTGGGTCCACTGCCCTAAGGCCAGCTGCAGGAGAGCTTCACGTCCTTCCAGTAAGTCCCTCCAGTCTTCCTCCAGAAGCTGTCACTGCAACCAAAAGAGCCCCCTTCCCAGCCAACTTTGAGATTTGTTGACTCATCACCAGGCCCTGGGGCTCATCTTTGGGAATATTTGAGATCTGGTCTCTTTGGAGCTGTAGTTGTTTGTTGTTATGTGCTGTCGAGTCGGCCCTGACTCATAGCAACCCCTCCTTGGGTTTCCGAGGCAGTATCACTATGGAAGTAGATCGCCCAACCTTCCTTCCAAGGAGCGGCTGGTGGGTTTGAACCGCCAGCCTTCCGGTTAGCCGTCAAGTGCCTTAGGTACTATGCTACCAGAGCGTGGCCTCGGGTCTCTGGCCTTTACGAGCACCCCTTGGCATTTGCTGTGCTGTCCTCTCCTTCCTTTTGGGTAGAGCCCTGCAGGGTGGGCAGCGGGCCCAGTTCTGTAGTCCAGTGTAGGCGGGTTTTTTTCATGTGTGCTCTTTTGGTATCAACACCTGAGGAAGGAGGTGGAGGAAGGGCTGGGCAGAGATCTGGGATGCAGGCCCAACAACAGCCTTGGCGGAAGCTCACCCTCGAGAATGACCCAGCAGCTGTGCCCCTGCTGGGCTGAGACAGCCAGGCCTCTCTGCCCCTGCTTCCGTCAGGGTGTGGGCAGTCCTGGGAAGAGCAGGACTCTGCAGTGCAGATCTGATGCTGCCCTGCTTCAGTCGCCTAGGGCTGCCCTAACAGAGCGCCCCAAAGTGGGCAGCGTAAAGCAGCAGAAAACCATTGACGGTTCTGAAGGCTAGTCAGCTGAACTCAGGGAGCCCTCAGGCCTGATCTCTGAAGGCCCAGAGGAAGGTCCTTTCTTGTCTCTCCCAGCTTCTGGAGCCTCGGGTGTTCCTTGGCTTGCAGCTGCACCCTAACTCCGTCCTCACAGGGCCAGCTGTCTTCCCTCTTGTCTCTGTTTCTTCTCCTCTGGTACAGGACTCCACTCAGATCAGATTAGGACCCTTGTGACTCCAGTATGACCTTCCGTCAACTGGTAACATCTCCAAAGACCCTATTTCCAGACGTGTGTATGTGTTCGTTTATTTCTGGTTTTAAGTTACAGAAGGTCAGGTGATCTAGCTTCAGCAGAAAAGGGAGCTTTTAAAGGAAAATGTTATTTCACGAAACTCAACTGCAGGAAATGGTTGCACAGCTGGAAGAATTAAGCTCTAAGGTTATAAGCAGGCTGTCACAGAACTCAATTAGAAGAAATGTGGCCCAACCTCAGGAGAACCTATAAATAGAATCAGAAACTGAAATGGCCCAGGGCCCAGACTGCTCTTGCAGCCTGTCTGAGCCTGTATGGTTCCTCCTGTCTGTCTCTTTGTGTCCCCACTGAGTGTCTCTCCTTGAACACTGGCTTTCTCTGCTTCTCTGGGGACCTGTGGCCAAACAAGGTCATCGTGGTTAGGTGTCCCCACTTCAAGTCAAAGCAAGGATAGTCCAATTCCAGAGTCCTCGGGAGAGCATCTGATTGGTCTAGTTTACCCATCCCTGGTCCAGTCAGCTATGGAGAAGGGCGGAGTCACACAACAAACGTGGCTCCAGGGTCCCTGAGAGGAGAAGGAGGAGGGAGGAAGATAGGAAAGGAGGGAAAGAGGGAGGGAGAAAGAGAGAGAGAGAGAGAGAGGCCTCTCACAGAAGAGACGCTGTAAGGCTGGGGCATTAGAGAGCAGCCCTCATCCAAGGATGGCTGCATAAATACTCCACCTTCCTCACTCAGGTGAGACAGCTCTGAGGCAGGTCTGCGCAGTCCCCCAGAGGTCCCCAGTGGGATTGAGCTCCAGTTTTGATATCCTGGTCTTTAATGGTTCCTGATTGGCTAGCTGCCCTTCCCATCTAGCTTCCTCACTCCCCTTCCTCCCAAATAAGTTCCACCCAAATCCTTGTCTCAGGGGCTGCTTCAGGGGGACCCCAGGTAATTCAGCCCTCCATGCTGTTGTTAAAGAGTCTGGGGTTCTTCCTGAGAGCAGTAAGGGGGTTCACAGCAAGGGCGTGCCAGGATGTCACTTGTATGTTATGTGGAAAACAAATGGAAGAGGGCAAGAGGTGAGGCCCGGGTTGTGCCAGGGAGGGTCTCAGGCGGGGTGTCGAGGACAGACCTGCAGGACACCAGCACCAAGGAGACAGGCAGGGCAGAGGAAACCAGGAGAGAGTGGGGACCCAGGGCCAAAGGAGCAAGCCAGGGCCGCAGCAGTAATGAGGAGAGATTATTAAAATACATAACTAAGGTGGCATCCGTGAAAGACCCAACAGATGAACTAGTGAAACAGGACAGCATTAAGTACAAGCCACAAAGATCATGGGAACCCAGTGTGTGGCAGAAGGAGCATTTAAAATAAAAGTTCTTGGAGCAGTTGGCTAGTCATTTAGGGGAGGTCAGTGGTGAGGGTGTGGCCCTCTAACTTCTCAGGTTTAAAAGATGTGTGACTGTGTGAAATGTGACAGGCCCATCAAATGTGAGCAAAATCCACTGCTCAGAATAGGACATGCAAGTCTCAATTCTGTTTGCAATGTGCACACTTTGCATTGAGGCAGAAAATGCAAAGATAACTGGAAATGCTTTGAACTAACTCAGAGGGTGATAGGACCACACTCCCTCTTTCTCCACCTGACTAGACGCCATATTCATCTAGCGTGGCATTGTAGTGATGATACAGTCTTTTTCTCTCCTTCAGGTGGACAATATTTCAGCCAGGCTTCACTGTGGTTTCTTTCTTGGTAACTGCGTCAGTTAAAGACACATGTCAAAGTAGTGTTGTTGCCATTTCCTTTCTGTTTCTCCATGGAAGTTTCTCAGTGAAGGTGCCTTCCTAGCATTCCCATCTCTCTCTCTCTGTGTCTCTCTGTGTGTCTGTCTGTCTGTCTCTCTCTCTCTCACCCTTGAGCCCTCTCCTTCCTTCTCATCACCCAATTCAAAGTTCTTGTACGGTGGTCAGGAGTCTGCTGCTTAGGCAAAAGGATTGATGTTCTGATTCATGCTACATGCTCACAAACATGGTGCTGAGTGAAAGAATCCTGACGCAAAAGGTCACATGCTGTGTGAATCTTTTTATATAAAATGTCTAGAATAGAGAAGACCATAGAAACAGAAAGTAGATTAGTGGTTGCCAAAGAGAAGAGGGAGGGAGAAGGAGGGAGTAACTGCTTAATGGGTACTAAGTGTTCTTCTGGGGTGATGAAAAGGTTTGGAAACCACACAGTGGTGAGGGAAAACTCAGAGTGAGAATGTAATCAACATCACTGAATTGTGTACGCAGAAAATGTTGGATTGGCATAGATTTTGCTGTGTATATTCTCAACAAACCCCCTTCATCTGTTAGTTTGCCATACTGTGGTATCCAGCTCATATGCCAGTTCAAATTGAAGCTGAAGAAAGTTAAAACACCTGAATTTAGAGACTATCTCAAGAATAGATTTGATGCATTGAACACCAGTGACCAAAGACCAGACGAGTTGTGGAATGGCATCAAGGACATAATACATAAAGAAAGGGCTGGGGGAAGACAGGAAAGAAGAAAAGACCAAAATGGATGTTAGAAGACACTCTGAAACTTGCTCTTAAATGGAGAGTAGCTAAAGTAAAGGGAAGAAATGATGAAGTAAAAGTGCTGAACAGAAGATTTAAAAGAGGGGCTTGAGAAGACAAAGTAAAGTATTATAATGAAATGTGCAAAGACCTTCAGTTAGAAAACCAAAAGGAAAGAACACACTTGACCTTTCTCAAACAGAAAGAACTCAAGAAAAAATTCAAGCCTTGAATTGCAATATTGAAGGGATCTATGGGCAAAATATTGAATGATTCAGGAAGCATCAAAAGAAGATGGAAGGAATACACACAGAGTCATTGTATCAACAAGAATTCCAACAAGATACCCGTGATACATAATACCCACAATCCTTACAGAAACAACAGAAAACAGACCTAGAGTAATCCCTTACAGCCAGACACTGTGGGAGAGAGACCTGATGGATCTACCGACTCAGGACCATAGTACTGGGGACACCAGATTCAGTGGCACAACAAAATACGTGAAAGTCGTGTTCCTCATTCTACATTGGTGAGTAACGACTGGGGTCTTAAAAGCTTTCAAGCGGCCGTCTAAGATGCACCTAATGGTCTCCTATCTTTGAAAGCAAAGAAGAGTGCAAAAAAAAAGGGGGGCATTTGGAAGCAATCATCAGTCAGGATGGCCCTTGAGACCAGAAGAGCTAGATGGTGCCCGGCTACCAATGCCAACCACTCAGGAAAGGATCAAAGCTGGAGGTCCTGGATGGAGTGGGAAGGAAAACATGCAACAAAATCCAGAAACTCAACAGTGACC